ATCTGCCCCCCCATGAAACATTTCTGCAGTACAAAGACAAAACCAAACGTATTGAAGCAGCCTTAGGCCATATATTGATATTAAACAAGAACATTTGAAGTGATCGTTTAAAAAATGTAAAGGATGCAGACGCCTGATCCACCAGAACTGATAAAGAGTCCTTGATAGGTGGCAAAACCTTTTTAGAAGAACTGAGATAAAGTCTAGTTGCCTCCGATTTAAACTATTTTCTGGTTCTTGTGGAGATTGAAGTATCATTTCCAGCCTGAAAGCTTTTCTTGCCCTTGTAGCCTTGAGTAAAATAACTATTTTCTCTGTTCTCATGTATTGATCGGCCTTTAGACTGGCTGCAGCTCTCAGTATAACAGCCACTGAGCCAGCTCTTAATTTACTCACTCTAACTGGATCAACCTGGGTTGGTGCAGCGCATCTGACATGTAACTAATAATGAAACAAGAAGAAGTACAGAAAGGCTGCTAACATGTTTAGGTATGTCCATCTCTCAGATCTGGCCTTTTTTTTGCAAATGGGAATGGATCCAAAGGACAATTGCTAGCAGGTCTAATTTTAATGGGAAAGAGAATGAAACAAAAACTGTTCTATCAAACAGTTTGTTATCTGTACACCAGAGGTCACGGATTAGTGGACCGCGGTCCGGATCTAGACCCACCTGCTGGCTAATCTGGACCCAACCTGATTTAAAATATTTATAAATTACCGCATGTTGTCCAACGATAGTGTTAGGGATGGAACAGTTTATGAAAACCATCCGAACCGTTCGGTTCGACTGTCTCGGTTCGATTCGGGTGTGCTGCGTTCGGTTCATGCGCTGCTCCTTTTTCTCATAGGGGAAGCGTTTACACTCCAGAGCAGAAGGTGGCGGTACTGCGACCAAAGCCAACCACCAGTAGTAAACAAGAAGAAGAAGCGAAGCAGCGTAGCCGGGTGTAGCAGAAAAAAATCAGTTGTTGTGGAGAATTGTGTGGGTATGGCGAGTGGGAAAGAACAGGAGTTGGAAGACGCGCCAGCAGCACTTTATAGGTCTGCTGTATGGGACCACCTTGCATTTAGAGTGACCTACGATGACGGCGGAAAGAAAGTTGTGGATAAAAGTGCAACAGTGTGCAAGCATTGTGCAACACGTTTTGTTTATGCTAACAGCAACACGACCAACATGCCAGGCTAACAATCAACATATACCGAACAGAACCGAAAACCGTGACCACGAAACCGTGAACCGAACCGAACCGTGGATTTTGTGAAACCGTTCCACCCCTAGATAGTGTCTAACTTCACCTGCGCAGCTTCTCCTGTTAATACGGTAAAGCCCTCCAGAGCGTCCGGCTCCAGGCTGCACGTGATCCAAATGAGCCAATGAGCTGTCAGTCTGGGTTGCTGCTGCTGCTACTTTTAGACACAGCAGGCAAACCTGTGGCAAGCCGGGCGATGGGAAAGAAGGAGAAGATGATGAGAAAAAGAGAGCAGAGAAAGTGTGGACTGCTGGAAGAACTGCGGTGAACTGGTGAAAGAAAAGTGAAATGGCATGCTCAAAGATGACCCTTCACATTTAGAGGATGTTTGGCTCAACCTGCTGCTGTGAAGCAGGATTCTCCACCTTGAACAGAATCAAAAATAAATCTGGATCCAGGCTCAAAATGAGCACCTTGATATGTGCTTTAGAATGGCATGTCACCGCCAATAATCTCCATTTTTTTCCCCCCTTTCCTCTGATTTACTTTAGCCACCTGTAACTGGGGTTGGGTGCAGCTACCTGTGTTTAGATCAGGCTCTGACTGGTAATCTGTGATAGCGGGCATTTGCCCTGTGGGCCGGTCCTATTATCAGCGTGCGAGGGCCGGCCCTCCTTAAATCATACCAGCCCCAACACTTACTCTCCGGCTGAAGCAACCTACCTGCGAGAGTAAATAATTCAAGGACCTCAAGAATCGAAATCTAGATAAGTCTTTTTTTCTTAAAATAAGTGCATTTGTTCTTGGATTGAGGAGGTAAAAGAGACATTTTACCAATGGAACAAGACAATTTACACTTCAAATATGAAAACACAATTGCATTGTCTTATTTCAAGTGCATGTTATCTAATTATCTTGTTTTTTAGAGTAAAAATACTCATTCCATTGGTAAACTATCTCATTAACCTTCTCAAATTAAGGATAAATACACTTAATTTATGAAGTTTTTACATATTTCTAGACCATTTTTCCAGTGTATACAATGTTAACTACCTAAATGATGCATGCAGTATATATAGCCCTTCCTTGTAATGCACATCCTAGAGACGGTTTGCATATGCTGTAATTTTCCATTTCTTTAAACTAAAAACATCCTTGCAACAAACTAAATTATGATAAAACTAAAATGCTTTCTTTAAACAAAACTACGATGTTCCTCTTATATTTGGCAAATTTATGTTTGAATATTTTGCAAAAATGTGTTGCGGTGCATGATGGGGTTTTGCATCTAAAGTAGGGATGCACGATATAATCGGCCCCCTATCGGTATCGGCCTGTATCGGCCTTAAAACTGAATATCCGACATCGGCCACCCCACCGATATTTAACCAGATATTTGATCAGCTTCTGAGTTTCTAAAGTCTAAAAAAACAAAATAAAAATACTACTTCTTCTTCCTCAAAAACTTCTTTTTTACAGACTTAAAAACTTCTAAAGACGAGAGAAAAAATATTGATACATTAAAATATCCCAATATCTTCATATGCTGATATATTGCCATTTAAAAACACCATATCAATCTCTTTTACTAATGAAATATTGCTATATGTCATTGTTATGCTACGAAATCCCCCGAAAATTCACGAAATGTTGCCATATTTTTATATGTTGATATATTGACGCGGTATCGATCTATTTTACCAACAAAATCTCACAAGAATTTGCAAAATATCACGAGTTTGTAACAGAACGATGAAATTTCATGAGATTTTGAAAGTAAAATAGTTTTTAAAAATCTATTTGATATCAGCATATGAAAATATATTTGAGTATATTATTTTTCAAAGTGTCAGAAATGGATAACAAAACTGCTATTTTCAATGACTACTTATTTTTGTCCAGCTTTAACATCGGTATCGGTATCGGTTATCGGCTACATGAGTTTTCAAATATCGGCATATCGGATATCAGCAAAAATCCCAATATCGTGCATCCCTAATCTAAAGGCTAATCATTGTAATGTGAATGAGCAATGCAAACATAATCCATTGCTCGCTAGCAGTACTCTCTGGGTGTTAAACCGTGTGGATTAAAGTGGAATCTGGAATAAATTTTAACTTGCAAAAAGTCCCGCGATCAAGACAGTGTCAAGGTAGGCCGTCTGGTTTTTAATTTGGCCCGACGCCACATGTTGACCTCGGCTCACAGGTTTTGCTTAAATAGGTTCGGCTCATTTTTGCTAAAAGGTGGGGTTCATGTTGCTATGTTGACGACTTTTTATATCCCTCTAAAAAATGGTATACTCAAAACTGTGTGTCCGTGCACGTCATTTTGCTTTTTTCTTGATGGCGAGTGTGAAATATCGCTTTAAACTGTATTTCAATGCAAGATGGAAGAGTGGTGTGATGCTTGTAACCTAGTGTGAAGGCTTTGGAAGGCATTCAGTTGACTGACAGCTGTGTGTCAAGGTGTACAATTCACCAGTTCACCACTGCTACTCTTAATAGTATTAGTATCAGTAGGACTGCTGGTTTCGTTGATTTCTGTATGTTGACTGAGGGAATCATGGTGTTTAGATTATTCCATTTCATTGCCCACATGCCACCTAGACTGGCAGTGAATGCTACCAAACAGCTGAGCTTTCATGGATTCATTCTTAAAGAATTGCCCGTCTGCCTCTATATTGTATTGTTTTGCCAGAAAATCGTTCCCAGTCCGAGTCTGGTTTGGAGCGTTTTGAGTCAGTGTTTTTTTTCCTCTCTCGCTCTGCTCCGGTGTCCCGTCTCTCGGTGTGACATCATCGGATCTGTCGCTTTGAGTCCTCTGATTTGCGGTCGCATTTCTCTGACGTACAGAGTGGCTACGTGGAGGAGGAGAGACACAGCAGCACTCAGTGAATATTAACCAGCAGCAACTTGGATGTTAAAAAAATTAGAGACGCCGCCGAAAAATCTGTTTGTTAGACATCCGGAGCTTTTTCAGCTAAAAATGGCAACAGATTGTAAGTTTATACAAGTTAGTATTATATTGCCAGAAGCTTAAAAAAAAGTTTTTATGTTCTTTACTAGTTAAAAAAGCTTGGCTTCTCAGAGGACCATGCCTCCCAGTTACAGGTTAAAATTAACACGTTTTCTAATTGTGCAGAAAGAATCACACTGCAGAGCTTCTACACATCGTGAAATGTTGTTTCTGGCATCATTATATTAGTAAAGAGGTTCATAAATCTTTTTAAACAGAGCACAGAGAGAAGTAGGTAGAGCTGCAGATTCAAAGGTGAAACAGATTTACTGGGATGTGCAACATGCAATAAGATATATCTCCAAGTTTACCAGAAAGTTCACAAGAAAAATATATAATTAAAATGCAGCATATCCATATTTTTCTGGATGAATGAATGGAACTGAAATTGTACTTCTAGGGATGCATGATATATCGATTCTGGCATCAGAATTGGCTGTTATATGTTATTTTTTTATACATTAATGTTTTTGGGCCCTATATGATGCACTAAAAGGCATCATATAGGGCTATATATAGGGCTAACATCTATAAATATCAGTGTATTATGGTTCTGTTGTGTTCTCAACAATAGGAAAGCATTCAATAAATAGACATTGGAGCTCATTTTTTGGAAAATACAAAACCGAATGAAAGCGTTCGGGTGGAGTAACTGTAGGTCCATCCGCCCCCAGCCTTATAGTGCCCCCTCCAACTTTCATTTCAGAGTTACACCCTTGGTGGAGCTCTCTGAAACCTGTTAGAGAAGCAATATTTCATCAGTTTAACACCCATTCATTTTCTTCTCCTCAGTCCAAAAGCTACATGTGCAGCAGCCAGGGGACAGTTCTGAGCTTCACCATAGATTTTGGATCAGGGTTCAGCTGCTCAGACGTCGCTTCAACGGTAATTACCCCCCCCCCCTTATTGGTGCATTTTTTTTTAACAGAGTCTGGATCTTCTCCACTTCCACATCCTTTATTCTTTACTGATGCGCTCGTTATTGAAATTAGAGTCCTTTGTTTTATAAATGCCTCTCATGCTCCGCAGACGGTTCTGTGGAGATACAAGTTCTCTCAACTCAAAGGCTCCTCTGACGATGGGAAGACGAGAGTAAAGCTGCTTTTCAAGAACGCTGAGAGCAATCAAATAGAAATGAAGGTAAGAATATCTTTTCTGTCTCCATAAATCAAAATGTTGCTTTTAAGCCCATATTTTAGCCTAATAACTGCCTCAACACCAGTTATAACTGGAAATGAGTCACTGAGGAACGTTGAAAAGAAATGTGTTAAACTTGAAGATAATAGTAGGAAATATAACATGGAGTGAATTTTATTCCATTATTGTTGCCAGAAAAGAACATGTTTTATGATGTAATACAGAATTGAAAACTGTAATAAAAAAAAAAAGAAAAAGTTGCTCCTCCACGTGGAAAGGAGCCAGCTAAGGCGGCTCCAGCATCTGTTCCGGAGGCCTCCTGGTCGCCTCCCTCGGGAGGTGTTCCAGGCATGTCCCATTGGGAGGAGGCCTGCTGGAAGGACCAGGACATGCTGGAGGGACTATGTCCCTGAGCTGCCTAGTGTCGCCTCGGGGAGCAGCCGGAGGAGGAGTGAGTGGATCAGGAAGTCTGGACATCTCTGCTTAGACTGCAGCCTCTGCAACCAGGCCCCGGATAAAGAGGAAGAACATGGATGGATGGATGGAAGAAAAAAAGAGTTTGGGAGTCATTTTACTGTTTTCTCAGATTTGTAATTTACTTAATCTTTTTATTATCCAGTTTTACATTTTGCATTAGTTTTAAATTACATTTTACAGATTTCTCTTAAACTCAAACACTTTAACCAATAAAAATGTCTCTAATGTCCACGCAGACCTATAGAAATGAGTCTTATAGATCCGCCTATAAAGACTGGACAGAATCTGGAGAACTCAGAGTTAACAGTCATTTAATAAGAAATTAAATAAAATCTTAAGGCAACAGCAGAGTTACTCCCAAAATGTTTTTGTGCTTTAGAAGTATTCCAAAGTTTTATGTATAGATTACATTTTCTTTTCAACTCACACTGGCCTTGGGACGGCTGCTCTGCAGGAAGCACAAGGAACCAGGACATGTCATTCATTCATTTTGTACGCTGACCTCTGCCATGGTGCAGCGATCAACAAACTGTTCCTGGAAGTAGAAAGTTTGGCCAGACGCTGCAGCGGTCTCTGCATGGAGCTCCTGAATTCTTTTTTACATGCTAGTTAAATTTTTTTTTTATATGTAAAACTTTTGAAGTTAAACTTTTGCAACTATTTTTTTTTATTTGATAATATTTTTTAGCCTAACTTTTTTAAATGAACATTTCTAAAATACATTATTTATAGGAATTCCTGCAGGAAAAGTTTTGCAGAAAAATCTTTTTCATATGTTAATTTCTGCAGGCTAATTTTTTTGAATATGCATGAATGAAATTAAATGTTTTTTATAAAAGATATCACAGTCAAATTTTTTAAGAAAATATTTGCAACGAAATCTTTTATATGCTAATTGTTTGAAGGCAAATTCTTGTCTCTGCTGTCCATTTTTTTTTAATGCAAATTTCTGCTGGCAGATTTTTTTGCTTATAATCTAAATCGGAAATAAAAAATACAATAGACCAGTTAAAAAAACCAAAACATTTTTAAATAGACTGAAAATATGTGGTTTAAATAAAATTATATCTCTCCTAAATTTACAATCTTTTACTCAATCTTTTAAAGGAAAAGTCAATAATCAATGGATAATTATTTATACCTAAAACTAATAAAACAATACATATTTGCTAATAAGTTTCTCGGCGTAATAATAGATGACAAAATCAGTTGGAAACCTCATATTAAACATTTACAGGGTAAACTCAGTAGAAGCATATCTATATTGGCTAGAGCTAGACATGTATTGAATGCTGAATCACTTCATATCCTATATAACTCTCTGATTTTACCATATCTATCATATTGCTGTGAAGTGTGGGGAGTTTATTACAAGAGTTCTTTACATCCGGTAACCATCCTACAGAAACGAGCCATTAGAATCATCCATAATGTTGGTTATTATGAGCATACAAACCCACTCTTCAAAAAA